TTTTGTAGCCATGCAAGTGTAAACCTTTCGTTAGAATACGCTGGAGAGTGACTATTTTAATGTCCAATTCTTGAGCGCTATGACAAATTGACGTCTCTGGACTCTCGGCTACATTTTCGCGAACTGCTCTTACATTTTCTTCTGAACGGCCGCTGCGAGCTCGTCTCGTATGTTTCACATCATCAACAGAACCAGTACTTTCAAAATTTTCGATTATTCTTTTCACAGTAGATGGGGTAGAAACATTATTCCGACCGAATGGTCGGAATAATGTTTGCAGCTAATATTTTTTAGCTGCATTTTTCGACTCGTGGCAATTAAACTTTCACCACTTTGATAATAATTTTTAGCAATTATTACTGTTCTATTGTGTAATGATTCATTTTCATAACCCCCCGCCTGTCTACTATCGATCTGTCATGTCACAATCATTATGACATTATGACTGCCAAAATGGCGCTAAATTCAAATATTGCGTTCTTATTGATACACCCTTTATATGGAGACCAACTTATTCAACCAACCAAAAGTGAACACTTGAATTGGATGTTTGCTCGCTATGGTATTCGCTAGGTGCGCATGGATAGCACCACCTAGCCGTCGAATTGAAATGTTTCTGCTTGACACAATATAAAAATGAAGGAATGTCAATGAAAATAACAGACATTTAGGCCCGTATCGTCAGTCGTCCCTACAATTGTAGGGCGCCTTTATGGCCTCCTTGATTGTCATAGATTTCTACTTCTCCGTGTCAGAACTCTATTTTGAGGTTATGTCACAAACATCTATTTGCATCAAATGTGCTTGCTTTTGAGTTATATCATGTTTTATCAGCCTGAAATTTCCTACAATTTAAAAAGAAAACATATCTTCACAATAGGAGAGCGCTGACGCTGACACGGGACAAGTGTAATCTAGAAATTTTTGAAGGAGAGAAAGGAGTATGACAGTCAAGGAGGCCATAAACGCGCTCTACAATTGTAGGGATGACTGACGATACGGGCCTTAGTCAATTAGACGTTAGGAAAAAATCGTATTTCAAACTGGTAATTCTATTTTGATCTAACAAAGGATGGGAGCGAAATCTTTTCATAATTGCAGGGTTCAGTTGATCCCAATAACACAAATATAAATAGAGAGATCACGCCTGTATGTCACTATCAGGCCGATGATGTTGCCCTTTTGGTCCACCACGTGCGATTGGCATAGTACCCACCACCCCCATATGCACTACGCTATTGGTAAATAACTTAAATTCTAGATGAAATGAGGAGGACTGTTATCAAACACTTTGAAAGAGCGTGACGTGATCACGACTTCAGGAGCGATAACTCACCAATTTGGAATTGTATCATGGGATCAACGGACTTAACCTTTGAGTGAGAGCCGCTAAGGTCGATAATCGTATTCCACCGTAACAGTGAATTAGAAGTCATGGCTCTTAATGACATATGGTTTCAGCAAAATGGTGCCACATGCCATACTGCTTATGAGACATTGGTAGTTTTGCACGAGTTTGCTCCTGGTCGAGTCATACCTCGGATTATCTGAACTCACAAGTTTATGCCAACAAGCCTGCAACCACCGAAGCATTGAAAGCTAAAATCAGGCACTGTATCAACGAGATACCACGACATGTGTTCAAAAATGTTACCACAAATTTTGTTAAAAGAGTGCGCATGTGCCAGCGGAGCCGTGGCAGCCATTTACCTGATGTGTTGTGCCATACATAATTCCAAAGTGTATACACCATAATCCAATAAATATTTGTTTGTTACGAAATATTATGTTTAATAGAACCTTGAAATATTTCGTTCTTATTGAAACACCCGTTAGAACCTTTTTCTGGATCCTACACGAAAAGAAGTAATAAACAGCGCAACGTTTTGTTGATTTATTATTAATAGCTCTGGTACAAGATCATAAACAGTCATATTTTTGCCTGCCCTCCTTTCGTGTATCTAGTATATCCAGTATAATGACTGAGCAATATAACTGCTACATAACTCCCTTCTCGCGTGTTGTGGGATAAAACTGATCTTCAATTTGTTACCCCACGAACGAGAGTTGTATAATTTATTGAGATAGACATGCGGTGATCGATGCATGGCAATGAATTATTGCAAGAAGTTGCCGCTATTTCACGACCGGACACATCACCTACATAATGGATAGTAGAAACGACGATACGCTACGAGGCAGGGTTAGATAACACCGTTTTAATCGCACAGAAATAGCGGCGCGAGACTATGCAGGGTGTCCCAATATTCCTTGGACATAGAAGTACGTATAATACCACGTATTTTTAGACCCGAAATAAGTCGATTGGGCATGATTTACGTATATGCAAAAGTGCTTTATTGGTCCGTTAGAGGACATCAAAGTTTTCTTTTTGAATAACATTTTTTCAGATATTTTTGGAACCGATAGTATGATTTGAATGAAATTGGGAAATTATATTAGACTTTTACGAAATACCCGAAAGGGCCCAAGAAGGGTGAAAACTACCCCCACCCCTACATTTATTATAGCAGAGTTCTTTCGCAACTCTTCCAACGACTCTAATTTTGTTTAAATATTCACTTATTTTTCTTGTTCCTTATAAAAACAGATTATCTTTTTTTTTTCGAGAAAAAAATGTTTTTCGTAGCTGGCTTCTCATTATATCAAGTGATGAAACTTGTATTGTTATGTGCAGGAACGAAAATGGTGGTCATACTGAACGCTTTTTATGAAATATTGCCTGTATTGAATAAAATTGTAATAAGCAATCCCTAACTTATTTTCGCTAACCACACTTAAAAAATTAATAAGACGCTTGGAAAGATCTTTATTCAACTTTTTTTTCTCGAAAACTATCGTAAAAAACGTATTTTTAAAAGAAAACGTTGACACCCTCTAACGGACAAACGAAACACTTTTGCATAGTAGTAAATCATGTCCAAAGGACTTATTCACAATTACTGATGAAAAAATCCTTACAAACCAAACCAAACTGATATAAAAAATGGAGTTCAAGAAACATCCGACAACTACTAAAACGTTGAACTATACACTACGCTGGCTCAAAAAATGGTGTCAAGTAGGTTGACTTTGTACTTCGCATGCTATCATGTCAACAATTAGATTATGTTTGGTTTATTTGCAGACCAAATGCCAGTTTGAGCAATTTTTGGCCTCCGTTATCGACAGTCTTCGCTAAAATTTGTACACCGGCAATTTCCAATACCAGAAAACGTTGAAGTCTATTTGGCACATAAGAGTTCAAATCAGTTCGCCTCGAGCAGATCAATCATAATGCGCATCAGAACTCAAACTAGGCGCAAAAAAAGGGTGGCACACCCTTACAGCAATATCCGAGTTGTACATATTATTTTAATTTACGGTTAGTGTCTTCGAAATGCTACCGAGGCTTCAAGAGTGCATGCAGGTCGTTTTTCAATATCCTTCATTGTTTCTTTTGTCTAACTCGAAATGAGAATATATCTAATATAATAAATAATAATATAGAATATAAAACTTGGACACGGTTGACAAATTACGCGTGCGAATTTAGCGATCTGCTTCATTCATTCGGGAAAGATAGTCCATTCTGAAAGCCTACACTGATGCTTGGCTACGTCGAACACATTCATGTGTCTTTAAATCTATCACAGACAACTTTGAAAAGTACTTACAAGTAATAGAGCTGTTCTTGAAATTTATTTTTTATGAACGGTGGGTATTTTTTATATTTTTTTTTTCACTCTTTCGCTGTTGTTTCATCACACATTAGATTTTTTATTACAAATGTAGTTATTTCTGAAAAGGAAAGTCCCAACTTTCAGGACACCCTGTATAGAAACTGTGGTGCAAACATGAACATTACTTTTTTATCGTATTCAACCAGGTGGAATACGAAAATCAATGATTTTATTGAAAGTTCTCAGCTTGGTCAACGAGAAACTTCCTCAATTTATTGCAGACACCCTTATGTAGGGACTATTGTGCCCGTTAAAAATTTCGATTCCAAGATATTAGGCTTTTTGAGATGGCAACGCGCTACAGTTCTGAAAATCGGAGCATTCGCGTTAAATTAGCGACATACGAAGATAGCAGCAGACTTCGTTGTGTGTGTCTTAAGTGATTGTGACCATTTTAATTACGCCATATTTCCAAAAATTGTGTTTTGGTTGTGAACACTTTTCTTGACTTTTACACATAGCTTTTGAATCTCCTTTGGCATCATCTATTTCTTGTTGATAATATACTTGGTTTTGTTGTCTTGTTAATTGAACAACTTTATTTCTTTGTTGTCGAAAGCTCACCCAATGTTCTTCCTGTTGTGTTATCATAGCCCTTGTATTGCCTATCCCTTTCTAAAATATTGTCATGTACATCTGGTGACCACCATCTTTTGTTGCCCCAACTAAGTACAATATAAAAAACAAAATTTATTTACCTTCAGAAAGGAATAAATGGAGCTTTAAAAATCAGAAATCGGTGAATCGGTGACCGGTTACGAAGATATGTTGAATAACCGTTTTACAACTTGGTGACCCCTTTTAAATATGGCAGTAAAACGACCACCCCATTTTTCATACTCCTGTAGGTGCGTATTCAAACTGAGAGCAGAATTAAGAGCACCATGACCTTAGTGGCGCATTCAAGTAGAGAGCAAATTTAAAAGCATTCGTAAATTAATAATGCCCTGCATTCAAAATGAGGGCACGTAAAGAACATCAGTAACCAGATTCAAGATCTCACTGATGTTTGATGCTCATAGTTAAAAATCGCATGCAGTAACAGGTACACGGCAATCAACACTTTAAGGCAGGCATATGCCTATTGGTGTAAAAAGAAAAGCACATCGTGAAGAATAAAGATGCTCTAATACCCTAAGTATTACCACTAAGAAGACTTTCTTTGAAAAAAACCTCCACCATGAAGTCTGTGAGAATACTGCAGGACGCTGACAAGAATCGGCATTACTTTATACTACTTTCTTTAAATAAGACAACTCAATTATTTACCGGTATTCTGCTGGAGCTGGTCACCCATATCCAGGAATCACCACCAGGTGCAGCTCCTTTGTTTCCCGTTTTCTTGATTATTTCTTCGTCCTTCTCTTCCAAATTGCCTCGAATCTTTGGGTTAAAGAACTCGACCTGAAAATGCATATCAATATTTGAAATAGAAAAGTAAAGAAGAAAAAACAGAGACCTCATAAATTACCTTAAAATAAGTTGTTGCACCTAAAAAGTAATTTTTGGGGAAGCAGTGGCCAACAATTCGAGAGAGCACAAAAAAAAATTGAACATTACTATTCTTGACTACTTTTGAAATAACACCCCTATACAACTATGAACGCGCAAGAAACGCTGTAGATTTGCTCGTTTGTACTTTGCGCAGCTTAAAAAGATTTTAACTAACAGTAGGTTAAGTCATTTGGTTAATTTTCAGTTATTCTTAAACATTTTTGTCTTAAAATTTATTCCCATGGCCCTCCGGTGTTAAGTCATTTGGTTAATTTTCAGTTATTCTTGAACATGTTTGTCTTAAAATTGATTCCGCTACCCGTGTCCATTAAATGGTTTAATTAACCGTTTGGATAGTCTATAGGTATACTAGTAAATAAATAAATAAGAATCATGACTATATCGTCCAACATATAAAAATCTTTCGTCGCTGGCATTGTGTACCGATCTCCCTGTTGTGTTACATTCAGTAATAGTTTGATTTTTTAAATATTCGAAACTCGCCGCAATGGTATAGTGTAAGTTATAAACAAATCACTCTGAATAAACCGAAGATAACATGCCATGGTGGTATTTCGACTGGATCGCTAGATTATTAATGATTTTATCTAGCACCGTGCGGGAAACTGTAAAGTGTACTCTTTTCAGTCCAGAGACTTATTCGTGTCATAAAGCGGTAGAGTAACATCAGTACCCACTATCGTTAAATTGACCTATAATCATCACCTATAAAAACTGTCCATATTTAGTTGTTGGTACACAAATGCTTTAACAACTGCTACGCGATGATATACAGGGTGCGACAACATAACTTCATTTTTCCTTCCTATTTGTTTTTTATAATGTAAGTGTTTGGTGTATGCCTAAAGTTTTGTTTGACATAGTTTTGCAGATTAAATAAGACACTGAGTAAACCGATTTCTGGCGTTTTTCATTACGCTTGCCAGCAAAGCAGGCGTTATGTTGGCAATATTACATAATCACAGGATCTTAGAAGACCCCGTAGAAAAAATACAGGGGGGTAAATCGGGAGAGCGCTCCGGCAACTCCAAATCTCCACTAATTGAAATGAGGCGCTCTAGGAAGTGTTCCCTCAAATCAGCCATCGATGCTCCTCTTGAAGTGAGTGCCATTACATCGTCTTGTTGGAACCAAACATCCCCTAAGTGCACCTAATCTAGCCGTGGAAAAAACTGAACTATGTCGGGACAAAACTTTATAGTCCTGCCTCTCGAACAAGACTACTAGCGCTCCGCTACGAGATTAACCGACTGAGTATATGTATATATTTTCGGAGTAAAGCGGCTTTATGAAAATCCGAAAGTGGCAAACATTCTCAAAATAGTTCAGATAACTGCTTTTTGGTCCATGTCTAGTAAACATGCTGTATAAACGTTGAACTCCTTCAACTAGTTACTAACCTGAGGTTCCTCAGCCTGATCAGTCAAATAATTCGCCTCGACCCTGGCCTTCAAGCTCCTCTTCGGTCTCGATTCAAAGTCGCACAACACTTTCCGCAATTCGTTCCGGAAATCATCTTTTCGAAGTTCGTTGAGGAAGAACTGGTTGAACGTGTGTCTTTCCAAGTAATCCACGCGGATTTCCGAGTTGATCAATCGGTACACGTAATGAGCAAGGAAGATCTCAGTAAGAAAAATGAAGAGAACGCAACATACGACGCGCACTGTGTAGCTGGGATTGATTTGGTGGATGGGGAGAGTCTCGTGGCGATCAGCGGGTGCATCTTCTGTTGTTTTAGACTCGGTTACAGTCATTTTCACTTTAGCGGGAGAATTACGAACTGCTAATGACATCAATTTTTTTTATAGTCGCGAGGATCATTATAAAGACACTAAAAAAATGCAGACTGGGTAATCAGTATTTTCCACACAGGGTTATTGCTTCTTCTGGTTTTCCAAATCACGGCGCCAATTTTGGTTAGAATGTTTTATACACATACATTCCATAAAAATACATCAACTTGTTACTAAATGTTTGCTGTATTATAATCAAAAGCACAACATAGATACACATGTAATCATAACGTGTAGGGTATCTAATATAGTGAAATTCGGCGAAATGGAAATTTCAAAGCGCGATATCTCAGAAGAAGATATTTAAGCAAACTACATGGCATTTGAGAGGGCAAAACTTGTATGATGAGATGGTATCCATCATTTAAAAAACCACCCTACATAATCTGAAATATAGGCAAAAGTCGCTATTTCGGAAACTGGAGGCAATTGAGAAATTTGATTCACGGATTCGGATTCAGCACACCAAAAACATTTGAGTAACTATACTCTGGTTTCTGGGTAAGTGGGTCAGACGTTGAAGGTAAAAATGAATTTGTTTAGATTCATATAATTTCAGGGTGACTAGAGTTCCTAAATGAGATCCATTTAAATAGGAACTTCTCATCAAATGCTTAAGATGCTGAAAATCATTGCAAGAATACCACAGCATTAGTTTAATAGGTGTCATACTTCTCACAGGATGCTTTGCATTATTCAGTGAAAACGTACATTATTGACGTCATTTTTTGGGCTAACTAGACCAGACTATTACGTCCGACTCATTACCAGTAACCAGTAATGACAACGCTTGTGGTGACTGGACCGCCAGGCCAGCGAATTGTCAGGGTGGTGGTTAGCGCCTGCTTCCTTACCGGCACACATATATCTCGCATCGGAAATATTTTTATCATTCTACCCGCAATCGTACGGGAAAATGTATGTGGAAATATGTCCAATGCCAAGCAATTGACATATACCTTCCCCCATTCCTGCCGCTCTGTTACCTCCAATTATTCGACCCTCAAAAGATTCCAAAAATGTTCAGGAGTCTCTGAAACGTTTAAAAACAAGTTTGAGCCATTTTCTCCGGTTTTTTTTGCCCGTACCAATAACCACAAAGCTTTTTTGTCCTTGGCATAGTGAAGCCTTGGCATAGTGAAGGGTGGGCCATCCCTTTGTTCCTTTTTTAAATTGGTATTAAAACTACGCTCTTCAATACTATGTAACACTCGATACTTTATTCAAAAGAATACACCTTCCGATTATTTATGAAAAACAATTTCAGTTAAATGACTGACTACTGGCCTGGCAGTAGTCCATCCTCTTAACCCAATTTTGAAGCACATTTTCGATAGTTTATGGGTCTTTTTCATCAACAGTTCGACGGATATTTTCCTTAAGAACATCAGTTATTTGAGGATCGTTAGTGTAATAGCGGTCCTTAACAGTACTTCATAGGAAGTAATCCTTGCAGAAGTTGTAACTTGTAAGGAAATAATCCCAGGTTGTTATGCAATATTCTCCGCACAGAAGTGCGACTGATGCCTACTTGTTGTGCTCTGTGAAGAGTTGACATTCTTGCGTTGTCACGCACACTCTGGGCAACAGCAGCAATGTTTTCGGCTGCACGTATGGGTCGAACACACTCATACCGTCTGTTATCCACAAGCAGGCCAGTTTCACGAACCTTCTTCAATTTCTCAATTTTCGCAAAGTTTCTGCAACGCAGCACTTACTTTGAAAATAGTTTTTCAATACTTCTCACCTTTGTTTAAGATTAAAACGATCCATTGCTCACAGCGGAAGTTTGATACAATATATTTGTCAATATGTTGAGCATGGAAGTGTTACCAACTGTCGAAATAATACCAACATAAAAAACCAACTGATTTCCCACCCTTAAGTAACCTTGTGTGAAAATTTAAATCAAATCCAAGTGGCACTTTCCAATTTATAGACGGGCCAAGGATTAGCGGACAGACCGACAGACAGGCAGACGGAAATGAGTGACATGGTTTTTCGTGGTGTATATGTTATATAACATCCAAAAAACATAATATCCCATTTTCAATATTTGTCACCCTTACAATACTTTCTCGTCAATGGCCTGGGAAGTTAAAGAAAAATGTTGATGAAGGTTTCAAATAAACAGGATGTTCCCTAATTGAATATCAATATTTGATGTAGATTTTTTGGTCTATTTTAAGAAAAAAACATATGATATGATTACAGCTATACTCAGTGACATTAGTGTTACACCCAGAAAAAAATAATTTCTTCAACTTGTTTTTTTGGCAATGAGGTAGTATTGGATCAAGAATGAAACGATAACATTCTCACGAAATTTTGACAGTCAGAAAAAAATTAATAATGTGTTGGGCGACCCCGCAGCTGAATACTGTCCTGTATACGTCTACGCATCGACAAGCTGAGATGGTCGATGTCTGGCTGTGGCAGAGTCTGTGCCGGGTGGTGCAAAGTGGATAGTTTCCTCCCCATCATGTCCCACACGTGGGACTTAAATCCAGTCACGGCAAAACATTAACGCCTGCTTCTTGAAAAAAGTCCGTAGTACGACGAGCAATATGGGGTCGTGCGTTGTCTTGCTGAAAAAGAACGTGTGGATGGTAGGTACTCTAGATACGGCAGAAAAGTGATTCGCAGGACATCATCAACATAACGCGCAGTAGTCATATAGCCTTGAACAAAGAGAAGGGGTGATCTCAGCAGCAAATGAAATATCACGCCATTTTCCATTTTTTTATACTCCAACTACCACGAAGGCCTAAGGCCTAAACACCCATTGGCTACCGTGGGGCTATAAGGGGATACAGGGGAAAGGGGGAACGCCACACGGACTCTGGCGAGGGAACACGTGTCCATGCAACATGCACACATTCTGGCTCCGCCTACGAGATCCGCCGGGTGGTACCTCCGCGTTCGACAGTCAGAAACCGTCTACCACCTACGGACAATCACAACATCCATAGCCAAGAGAAAAATTTCTCCTGGGACGGGACTCGAACCCGCACAGCGCACGGCGACTGATCAGGAGACCGAAGAGTCTACTACTGCGGCCACCGCTGCTGCCTGCGCGGCCGCCATGGCGGCGTCTCACCTTTCTACGACCATCGTGCGTACCTACACAGAATCGCGACTCGTTGCTGAAGATGACATTATGCCAATCTGCCTCCCAATGTTGCCGTTCTCTGTTCCATTTCAAACGTTGACTACAGTGGTCCGCAGTCAGAGGAAGCACTAACCGTAATCTTGACGCTATTTGGACGCCTCGGTGGACCAGTTGAGCTTCTTCGTGCTCCTCTACCTTGTTCTATTCACACACGTCACACACGCATTACCGTCATTACAGTAAAATTAACACGGTACCCAATTTCGCGATAGGACAAATGAACATCTCGATAGGCAGTAATTTTACCTCTGTCAAACGCGCTAACATAGTGATAATTTGAACGTCTTCGAAGTTAAGGCATTTTGATATGCTTAATAGTAGTAAATGAAAGGGTAATAACAAAAAATATCCCTACTAATCAGCTCTCGTAATCTGCTTCCTTTACAAAATCTAAGAGATAACATTTGAACAAATGCAAACAAATACAAAAATCAAACGTTGACATTGTCGCCACAGCATCCTTTAAATGTATTTATGTTGCGAAAAAAACAAGTTGAAATTATTTTTTCTGGGTGTAACACTTCTAATGTCACTGAGTATACTTTAATGAAATTTGGTAGACATGTACTATGTATAAAGAGGCATTTTTTAATGTATTACATTTTTTAATTCCAACCCATGGCGTTCGGACTGAATTTCGCCTGCCTATTTTGGCAGGCATTGATGATACGCCACTGATTTCTCGTAAAATAAAAATCATTCTTGTAATTTCTAGTCATATCCAAGCAAATTTGATCGCTTGACTTTTTCAATACGATGCTAAGTTTTCGCTTAATAGAATTAAAACCGTTTCTCTGCATGATTATAACAATATCGTTAATATGACAATATCACTATGCAGAAAAATAGCTTTCATTTTTTAGGTGAAAACCGTGCAACGGACTAAAAAATCAAGTCCTCAAACATGCTGATAAATGAATACAGATGTAATTTTTTTATTTTAAGAACAGTTAATGGCATTCCACTAGATTGAAGACTTTACCACCCTGTATCTCAGAAGATAAGCCGTTTAGGATATACGTTCATATGAAGCTTTCTTCTTAAAATGGACTCAAAAATCACCCTCTTAAACACGTTATTAAAATTCTAAATACAATTCAGCTTTATTTACCGAAAGAAAAAAAGTGCATTCAACCAACCCATGTATCTAAAAATTTTAATTTTCCTTTTCCTGTACAATAACTGGAAATACAAAGTTGACCTCCATATTGTATCAAGCATCATAGGAAAAGGCAATAGGTATGTAAACAATCTATAGCCTGAAGTCAGGCAGCATCGTAAACAACCGTTTTCCAAACCATAATTTTTTATGTATTTGGTTTGGCAAAAAAGTAATTGGCAAATCAATTTCAAAGGTGAAAAGAAAAATAAGTGTAGTCGTCTCGACATTTTTTGTCTGTGGAAAGCATATTGACATCTCATTTTTTTAGATCAATTTCAAGTGATACGCCTGTTTGGAAATATTTATGACCACAATACAACTTATTTGTTTTTCTAAGCAAATAAGTACACGAATTATAATGAGGTATAATTTTCATACACATTTAATCTTTACAAAACAATGTCCTCGGATGCTGTCTTTATGCAAAATTCATCCACAACATAGGACTTTACCACTATTTCATTATGCAAAATAATATATTCATGATTCATGAAGAGCGATGTACAACCATACCCTATACAAAGTATCTCGAATACAAAGTAGAAGATACTTTTAAAATAAATATTTCATATACCAGATACAAAATCCCAATCTATTAAATGCTTTTTAAAGATGAAATAGTTTGGTAAGAAACGACATTTCATTGAATATATTTTACTACGTAAAATATTTAGGTGTAGATCACAAAATATCAAGTAAGGTTTAGTTTAGAACCAGTTCTCCAAACATTTTATCACTCATCTTCTTCGATGCCTTATTATCATACTTCCAAAAGTAAAGAGTCGCTCCACATGGGCAGAATTTGGCGAACATGTTTTACATTTGATGAATATTTTTTTATTGTAGGATAAGCAGTTATTTTACATATTCTTGGCCGGAGACTCAAGAGCACATTATGTGAAGAAATGCATTGGCAACCGTACTCAGATACCAAGCGAAAAGTATCTAAATATATATTGGCACAAATATGTGAAACATTAAGGTAATATTCGTATATCCGCATCGTATAGGTATTCTTTGCCATTATATATACTAAAAATAGTAGAAATGCCGCACTCGTACCTATATTAGATTTTTCCATAACGATTCAAGCACTCTAGAATACTTCAAAATGAGTATTTTGTAACATGAGCTTGTTTTGCGTCCAAGGAGCAACATTATTAAAAATTAAATAGATGTTTTACATCATCTGCTTGGGAATATTAAAATAATATTGGGAAATATTTCTGCTTTTCTTAAAATATTCATCAAGTAGCATTCACATCAATAACCCACAATTTCATTGATATGTATACATATTCACAACGTTTACCATAGAAATACGAACAACTTCCGGCTTACATCGCGTATGAGAGAGCGTAAACGTAACGCGTAGGGACACCCCGGAAAAGGAATAAGTAAACTCGTGAACGGTCCGAGCGTTACTGGCGGGAAGCCGGGAAAGTGGGAACACCATCGGGAAACCACCACCGGCGACAGGATCGTCTCCCTTCTTATTAGTCCAGTCAATATATACCATGACAAGCAAATACGACTTCACTATTACAGAGAGGTAAGCTCCGCGAAAAAAGTTAGTGTTTGGAGCCAATAATAATGTGGCATAACTTGATTGAGTTTTCATGACGATTCCTAATTTCTAACAAATATATAGGTAGGAATTATAATTGCTTTGGAGATGCAGAATACTGTTAATTCAAGTTAAATATAGGTGTATGCAGACCACTGTTCATTCAAATTCTCGATTTTATGAATTGACAATAGGCTGATCATAATTTCTTGGAGCGCCAAAGATGTGCTAGCAAAAACTTTTAGTTTCTAGCATGAATACAAAGGCAAGTTTATATACATGATCGGCAGGTCCCGTACTTAATGTGTATGTTAGAGATGATAAGAACACGTATGCCCATAAAGATTACATCCGGTTATGTTGACATTTTTTAATGCGCAGACGCTCTGCACCATGTTCTACGTCCACTAGATTTCCGAGAGCCACACCATCCTTGACGACAGCACTGACATCATACGAATACAAGTATCCCTTACGCACCTCCTATCTCTGGTCTTCGTGATTCAAATTAAGAAAACAGACACTCACAGAAGTGATATAATACCTGTAAATAAATCAATTCCAAATGCACATACTTCTTCTATACTAATTAATACTTTCTAATAGGACATCTCACCTTATGATGTCAGTATAAAAAATGTGTGTCAATGTTGATGCCCTGAACTTATCGGCGCGGATTTGTACAAGATGTGTATGATAAAACTGAAATAAAAAAGGACTAGATAAATGGGTAATAGAATGAATACCGCACTATTTTGGCAGCTATTGTAAATAATATACTGAATATACTGACAAATTTTCTGTAGCAAGAAATTTAGGAAACAACCAAAAATATATGGACGTTGTAAAAAATTATGTCACCAGACTAGCATATTGTCACTGCGTATTACTTTTAGTTCGAAAACGCGTACGATCACAATAGGTTCTCGAGTTAGGCTTGGAATGGAACATTCATGTTTTCCAATTCAAAAATCAGAGCCGAGTCTGTAGCCGCGATAAGTGACTTTCACTGCCGATAATGACGTACACGTTTGATTAACGGTCCCGCTGTAACAAATGGGTTTCTCTCTGTACTTCTCTCGTAAACAATTAATACAGAACCTCAGTGATCATGCCGATCCTGTAAGCCGGAATAGCCCACTTATGTTATTGTTAAAAGATTCGTTGAGAGCTATTCATACCTCATCTTGAAATCTATAAACCCTACTTGCATTTTATATTCTACATTATTTAGAACAGATATTTATATCATTTGAAATATTTAGAAGAAAATAATTAAACTTAATGTAGAGCAATGGAAAGGAAAGTGTACATGTATCTATGTTTTAGAGAAATTGATTACCTGTATTTATTATGCATCCAGGAACTAAGACTATCCAACGTCAGAACTCAGCCCCTAGTTAGCAAAGTTCAATTTCTGAAGGACACGTCGAGATCTCTAAGATTTGCAACTTGCAAAACTTCCCAAAGAAATCTGTCGAGTCGTTGGACCAATATTCGTGTTAGTGTAAACTTTGCGGCGCTCGATGCTCGATTCATTGCCATTCATCTTATCGAAATATGCTAAATAAGTACCTATCATAAAAATAGTTGTTTTTTCGCGCCAACATTTGATCAGATAACGTCAAAATCTAAAATACCAGTTTCCAAAACTTCCCAAGACTTCCAATGCTACCGCCTTTTGTGCTTCAAATGATTGGGTTTCTGTACGGTTTCGCTTAGCTATAACCAACCTGTTGCTTAATCTAGTTCCTTAGATAAGAGTACAATGCTTATTGCTCTCGAGTACCTATTATTAACTATATTCGTAATCACTATTTGGATAGGAGTGGCAAAGTTGCGCTGTATCATCTGGAAGTTTACCGAACTTTTATTCATGATTCCTTATATACGAGGGTTGTTCCAAAAGTAGGTTTCTCACATTTTTTCAGCCACAAGGAATTTTTTATTTTAAAAAAAGAATTCACCATCGAAAACGTTGATCTTTAACCTATTTTTCTCCATGATCGCCCCTTTTTTCTACGCATTATTACCTCCTGTTCCTGGATCGTCATTCGCCGATCTTCGAGCAGGATTTGCCCAATCGTCGCCACAACTTCCTTGGAGATCGACGGCCTCCTGCTTCGTTAGTGGATGTCTATGCGGCCATCAGAGCACTCTCGTCACCATTTGAGGACATTTTGAATGCTTATACTAGTTTTCCCATGTGCTTCACTCAAGTGGCGATGAATTTCTATGTGTGGTAACATTTTTGTGTGCAACAATCGGATGACTGCACGAAGTTTCGCACCTGGCGGTGACGGCGATGAAGACCTCCATTACGCATTGCTGTCAGGCTGGTACTGAGCATCGCAAATTGGCGCGGCAACGATACAGCGTTGGGAACATCATTTTTGAGACAACCCTCGTATGCTGTTTCAGTAAAAGCCATGAGAGAAAAATGTGTTTGTTAAATTCTCACAGAAAGTCTAACCAATTAGGTTCAATTAAAAAAAAAGTAATTTACATCAACGCCTTTTTGTATTTCCAAATATCTCCTTTATAGACCAAAAAAATAATGAGTTATTAAAAATATATTTTTTCAGAAAATATGTAACATTTGTAACAGGCTTTTATTAGCTTGACCTGTATGTATTTAACAACTGTTTTTCTTGCTCGATCAAGATTAGAAAATCGAGAAATTAAATATAAAAAGTAAGTTCTCGTGTTGCCTTAGAGTAGTCTGCACAAGCGTACAAACAGGCAAGCAAGACCAGTTTAAATAAGTTAAATCGGCTGCAAATTTCGGCGTGAAGATCGCCGCTACGTTGCCAATATGCCGAAAACATTCACCAATTTCAAGAAGTCTAACTTGAAAAATTGCACAGTGGTCAAGGATCGATGACAATATTTGAAAAAAATTTGGCTTCGGAAATTTGGAAAATAATTTGAATATTTTGGGTAAAATTTGGAAATTTTGGTAATTTCGAAATTTCAAAAAAATTGGAAGTAAATATAGATTTATTGTCAAATATAAAATATACCAAAAATCGAAGCTCTTGATTATACAGGTAAGTACTTTTGTTATCGTTTTCAAACTGGAAATTCAGAAAATAAATTATAGTTTTGAAAACTTGAAAAACATGCTTTAATAGCAAAAAGGGCTAAAAAGTAGAAAGTAATTTCAAGTATCGGAAAGTTTGTGTTACTGCAATAGAAAGTCCAACAATCAAGTATGACTAATTAATTTGGAGTAATATCAATATAAAAATTAAGGTATTAACATAAATTACAGTGGAAAAGCGAGGGATGCATATTTTATACTACCTATATTTATTTACAAATATTTTTTCGGAAAAATGAAAAGCGTTCTCTCCGTTAAACTTTCACTCTTTATATGTCCGTGTTTCTTATAACTTTCGTTCGAAAAAATAAATGAATTATGATAAAACATGGATATTCAACAAATATTAGTACCGAGGACTTAGGGATCATCATCATGTGTTATTATCGGCTAAGACATGGGTCCTTATACCTTTGTAGTATTCAACTTCACATTAACTTAATAAGTCATCTGCTACACACACAAATGACATTTTTATTACTTGAATAATCAGATCTATAATGTCTGGCCTATCCACAGTTAAGAGAAATTTTAATTGTAGATATATGCTCATTGTGTTGTAGTCTCGATTATAAAGTTTGGTTGATTTGGTTTTCTAATGAACTAGAACCAACTATAATAAATATATCCATGAATCTATTAAGGGAGTAAAATACAACACACTCATCAATATTCAAACGTTGAGGTACCAGGGTTCATTCGTATTGGAACAACAGAGTCACGTTGTTTAGACTTACACTAAGGTTAGCATACTGCAAAACTAGTCGATGCTTTTAACTTTAAGGTATTAAGATATACAGGTATTTTGATAATATTACGGTTGATCTCAGCCGATAAAAGAGAAGACCACTAGAGCTCCTAATTAGAATACAATATGAAATTCTGCATATAATCCTTTTTGGTCAGGTTCATTGTAATTATGAAACCGCTCGTTTTATATTATATACAGGGTGGCCCACCCATGTGTGGATGGAATATTACTCATAAACACATACATTTTGGGAATATCTATTTATGGGATGTTATACGTGACATTTGAGTGCACATTTCTAAAATATTGGCCATTATACAGGGTGTCCCAATTTCGAACTAAAAGCTGAGGTGTATAAGTTTTTTTTAGATACAAAATTTAGTACTCCAAATTTCAAAATGGCGTATTGAAGGGTTGCCGAAGTGGATGATTTTTCTGGACAAAATACTTTACATCTCAGTAGCTAATTACCAAAACCCCATAGTATGTTATATCAATTTTCTTTTTTGAATTGGTTTATCCAAATGTGCCATAAAATTTGAGGCATTCCATTTGATAAATCACAACTTTGATACGTACCTAGGTCAAAATTGCGACACCCTGTATAATTGAAAATATTTTAGAAATGTGCCCTCAAATGTCATGTATAGCATGCCATAAATAGATTTTCCAAAATGTATTTGTTTATGAGTAGTATTCCGTCCACACATGGATGGGCCACACTGTATATATATATATAACGTATATATATAAGTTATGTACCAGTCTACAGAGAAGAATATGCTGAACAAGGACTTTTGCCTCCACGTGCCTTTCTTATCAGTTACAGTATTGTATTTCATTTGTTCTTTACTTTGGTTTGTATAATGAACTTTGCAGTCAGTCTCGATTCAGAACTCATTCAATTAACATCATTGTATTTGGTCTTTCTCAAAAATAAATCTTTTTAAAAACGTTTTCGTTGAAGAAAGATATTTGAGTGGCGCAGTCAATCCAGTAGGATAGCCAGACGAAA